AAGGAAGGATGGAAGGAAGGAAGGAAAGAGGGAGGGAGGGAGGGAGGAAGGAAGGAAGGAAAGAGAGAGAGAGAGGGAGGGAGGAAAGAAGGAAGGATGAAAGGAAGGAAGGAAGGAAGGAAAGAAAGAAAGAAAGAAAATTCTTTAAAAAAATCATCTTAAGAATCAGGCCAGCAGATGGTGTAGTAGCTGTCACTGGACTCCCACATGGCCGACTACAGTTTGAGCCCTGGACCTGGTGGCTTGAAACTCACACTAGGAAACGTGTGTGCGTGTCCAAGATCCCAGGAGGAGAATGGAGGAGAAAGGATTACAGCATGGCTATCTCCCCTGGGGGGTGATTTCTCACTGTCCCTCTCAGTGTCTCTGTCACTCTGTATGGTGAGCTCATACACCTTAAGGCAAAAACCTCTCAAAAAAAAAAACAAAAAAAACCTTAACAATCAAAACCAAAGAGTGTGGGGCCAGCAGGTGGTGCGGTAGTTAAAGGTGCTGGACTCTCATGTGGCTGATGGCGGTTCAAGTCCTGGACCTGGTGGCTTGCTTTCTCACTTTCCCTCTCTCCCTGTCTGATCAAACTGGGAAATAGTAATAATAAATAAAGTTAAATAAAATAATTCTTTAAGAAAAGAGTGAGTAGTGATTATATATAAGTAAGACGATGGATTCTATTTTATTTTATGGGTATGATCCAATTTTTCTTTTTCTTTCTTTTTTTTTTTTGCTATAGGGCATGTGGCTCATGAGAGAGAGAGGGAAATCACCCCCCCAGGGGATGGCCACACAATTTTTTCTCCTCCATTCTCCTCTTTGTGTAGGGGATGTACACACACATGCTAGCTAGGTGTGATTTTCTTTTTTTTAAGAATTATTTTATTTAGCTTTTTTATTATTATTATTACTTTCCAGTTTGATCAACCAGAGCGAGAGAGAGAGAGAGAAAGTGAGAAAGCAAGACACCAGGTTTGGGACTCAAACCGTGGTCAGTCATGTGGGAGTGTCCAGCGCCTTAACTACCACTCCACCTGCTGGTCCCGCTAGTGTGATTTTCAAGCCATTTAGTCTGAGACTCAAACTACACAGTTGGCTGTGTAGGATCCAGCCACCTTAACCTCCACACCACCTGCTGGCCCAATTTTTACAACAAACCTGCATTATTACGAGAGTGGAAAATGAGCCTGTTTCTCTCCTTGTCCCCATGGTCCTAAGGTTTATTTTGGTTTTGCTGAATATTACTCTTTTGTAAAGCATGGCAGACTGAAAATGAAGATTTATTTTTTAATTTGCCATAGGCCATGTGTGTTTACCAGAGGGGGGGGAACGTGAGAAAGCACCCCCATGGAGGATGGTCATGCAGCAACCCCTTATCCATCTCCATTTCTCCCTCCTCTCAGAATTTTGGGCGTGTGCATGCACATGTGCTCATCAAGCATGTTTTTCAAGCTGTTGGTTCCAGGACTAGAACCATACAGTTCGCCATGTGGGATCCAGCTGCCTTAGCCAACACACCACTGGTTGGTCTGACTTGGTTACTTTTCTTTTTTTTTTTTTAAGTTTATCTATTTGTTATTACTAGTATTATTTAATTTGTTATGGGGCCTGTGTACTCACAAGAGAAAATGAAAAGGCAAGCCACCAGGTCCAGGACTTGAATCATTGTCAGCCATATGGGAATCCAGCACCTTACCCACCATGGCCCCAAAGACTTTGTGACTTTTGAAAAAGGAAAAGGACTAACTCCCTGAACCGGTTTCTGCAAGTTGGGCAAATGGTTCTCCCAAGTGCTCTTTGAAATGCCGACACCAGGTGGCAGCCTATCCAGTCTGTTGAGCCATGGGAGATCTGCCACAGCTTAGTCGCTATCTGAGGCCTTAATCTGGGTCTCAAACATGACTGACAAGTCTGGTGTGCCAAACTCACCCTTGGCTCTTCTTTTCTCTGTATTTCACAGGCCAGAAACAAGACTGCGATCCATCTTTATCCCCAGTAGCAACATCTACGGACCAGAACCTCAGATATGAGCTGGTAGTGGCTGAAGCTCTACAAGAACTCCTCTACCCCACACCACACCGGCACATAGTCATTCTCATTTATCTTATTTAATCTCTTTAAGGAATCATTTATTCGATTTTTATTCAATGTTTTTAATTGTTACTATTTCTAATTTGTTCAGACAGAGAGAGAGAGAAATAAGAAAGAAAGCCATCAGGTCTGGGACTTGAACTGTGTTTGGCCATATGGGAGTGCCCCAACCACCATGCCACCTGCTGGCCCTATTCTCACTTATTTTTTTACTTCCAACAAGGAGTTTCTCCCTCCCTTCTCCTCTCCATCCATTCTTCGGGAATAAGCACCCCTACTCCTTCTTTTTGTCAGTGTCTATGGAGGTCATCTCTGAGGAGTGCTTGAGCTGGGGGGAAGTTCACGTAGAGAACCATCACCCAGGGATGGCATCACCTTCCTGCCAATGCCTTCATCGCCTGTCCTTCAAAGCAGAAGGCGTGCCAGCCCTCAGCTTCAGTCAGGTCGTGGGCTCCTAGGACCTTGTACAAGTCCACGGCCCTCTTGTTCCAGTCCAGGACCATCAGACGGAATTGGGTGCAGCCCGCTTCCAAGGCCACCTGTGGGAGAAGACATCGCTCACTTTCCTGGCATCCAAAGGAAAAGACTTTCTCAACCCCTCATTCAACCTGGGTGCCCCCCAAATGCCCTTGCTTTTGAGAGCTAGCTTGTAGCCCCTCTCCTCACCTCAGCCACCTTTTTGATAATTTTGGAACCAATCCCCTGACCTGTTGTGGGGAGAAAGAGACAAAGAAAGCAATTGTTTTAGGTGAAGAGGATCAGAGAATCCCATAGGCTGGCATTTGGTGGTCGGCTTGCGGGTGGCTTTGCTCCATACCCTGATATTCTGGCATCACATAGATGTCTTCCAGGTAAACGCTGCGTCCCTTCCACGTGCTGTAGATGAAGTAGTATAGTCCATAGCCCACCAAGCGAGGCCCTGAGAAAGGGAGAATAGAGGGGTAAGGCCTCTGGGAGCCTGTGGGAGGGACCTGTGAGGCTAACCAAGAGGTTGACCTGTGAGGTCCAAGTGCTCTTACCAGGTAGTTGGCCCGGGGCTGGAGGAGTCTCTGCTACCAAGCAGTGATACAGAGGATTCTCTCCAAAGCCATCTGCTCTCAGGGCTGTACCGAAAGAGACCTGGGTGTATGCACAGTCTGGGGCTGTGGCCTGAGGAATCCATCCCTCATTTCTTCCCCAGTCTCCCCAGGACCTGGCTGTTAAGCACCCACCTTCTTCACTGATCTTCACCTGATCCGAGAGTTTCTCGTACTCAGCTAGTTCCTAAGCGTGGGGACAGAGGCTAGGTTAGGACAGCAGAGCCCCAAGGCGCGCCCCACCCCCGGCGTTCACCTCCTGTACTCAGCTTAGGCCTCCCAGGCCTGATCCCCCTGACACCCTGGTTTCCGGCCCGCCGCCTTCACCCGAATCAGCCTCAGGATATCTCCACAGTCTTCCTCCTTGGCCTCACGAATCTGCACGGAAGCCATTCCGATTGCTACGGGCTGGGACCAAAGTCCACGACCCCCACTTCCGTTCTGCAGGATCCCGCAAAGGGCAACCAGTTCCCTTTAAACGGCCTACAAGCTCGGATCCCGAAAGGCCAGGCAGAGCTGGGCGCGGGCGCCACGGGTTAAGAAGCGGAGCCTAGGTCCGGACGCTGGCGGGGCACACTGAGCGGTCCCACGAGGTGGTCCCCGCCGCCTGGGTAGCCCCTCAATTCTGCCCCTGTATGCGCACGCCCGCCAGCCAATCAGCTTTCAGCGCAGGCGCAGCTCCGACCCTTGGCCGCGCCCCCCAACCCCTCCCTTCTCCTCTCCATCCATTCTTCGGGAATAAGCACCCCTACTCCTTCTTTTTGTCAGTGTCTATGGAGGTCATCTCTGAGGAGTGCTTGAGCTGGGGGGAAGTTCACGTAGAGAACCATCACCCAGGGATGGCATCACCTTCCTGCCAATGCCTTCATCGCCTGTCCTTCAAAGCAGAAGGCGTGCCAGCCCTCAGCTTCAGTCAGGTCGTGGGCTCCTAGGACCTTGTACAAGTCCACGGCCCTCTTGTTCCAGTCCAGGACCATCAGACGGAATTGGGTGCAGCCCGCTTCCAAGGCCACCTGTGGGAGAAGACATCGCTCACTTTCCTGGCATCCAAAGGAAAAGACTTTCTCAACCCCTCATTCAACCTGGGTGCCCCCCAAATGCCCTTGCTTTTGAGAGCTAGCTTGTAGCCCCTCTCCTCACCTCAGCCACCTTTTTGATAATTTTGGAACCAATCCCCTGACCTGTTGTGGGGAGAAAGAGACAAAGAAAGCAATTGTTTTAGGTGAAGAGGATCAGAGAATCCCATAGGCTGGCATTTGGTGGTCGGCTTGCGGGTGGCTTTGCTCCATACCCTGATATTCTGGCATCACATAGATGTCTTCCAGGTAAACGCTGCGTCCCTTCCACGTGCTGTAGATGAAGTAGTATAGTCCATAGCCCACCAAGCGAGGCCCTGAGAAAGGGAGAATAGAGGGGTAAGGCCTCTGGGAGCCTGTGGGAGGGACCTGTGAGGCTAACCAAGAGGTTGACCTGTGAGGTCCAAGTGCTCTTACCAGGTAGTTGGCCCGGGGCTGGAGGAGTCTCTGCTACCAAGCAGTGATACAGAGGATTCTCTCCAAAGCCATCTGCTCTCAGGGCTGTACCGAAAGAGACCTGGGTGTATGCACAGTCTGGGGCTGTGGCCTGAGGAATCCATCCCTCATTTCTTCCCCAGTCTCCCCAGGACCTGGCTGTTAAGCACCCACCTTCTTCACTGATCTTCACCTGATCCGAGAGTTTCTCGTACTCAGCTAGTTCCTAAGCGTGGGGACAGAGGCTAGGTTAGGACAGCAGAGCCCCAAGGCGCGCCCCACCCCCGGCGTTCACCTCCTGTACTCAGCTTAGGCCTCCCAGGCCTGATCCCCCTGACACCCTGGTTTCCGGCCCGCCGCCTTCACCCGAATCAGCCTCAGGATATCTCCACAGTCTTCCTCCTTGGCCTCACGAATCTGCACGGAAGCCATTCCGATTGCTACGGGCTGGGACCAAAGTCCACGACCCCCACTTCCGTTCTGCAGGATCCCGCAAAGGGCAACCAGTTCCCTTTAAACGGCCTACAAGCTCGGATCCCGAAAGGCCAGGCAGAGCTGGGCGCGGGCGCCACGGGTTAAGAAGCGGAGCCTAGGTCCGGACGCTGGCGGGGCACACTGAGCGGTCCCACGAGGTGGTCCCCGCCGCCTGGGTAGCCCCTCAATTCTGCCCCTGTATGCGCACGCCCGCCAGCCAATCAGCTTTCAGCGCAGGCGCAGCTCCGCCCCTTGGCCGCGCCCCCCAACAGCCTGGTCTTGTGACTCGCCTGGGGAGCAGGGGTCAAGGCTGGAGTGGTCGTTGTTATCGGGTGCCCAACGTCAATCGGAGATACCCCATGGCTCGCAAGTCACCCACGGTGCTTCATTAATCGAGATGTGCAGTGATTATCTGCATTAGCCTTCACTCTGACAGTCATCTATTCAAGCCCACCCAGGTCCTGGGTGAGTCCCAAGACCCCCAGCTCTAAAACGCCGCTTCTTACCGCTCTCTGAGTGGCCCAAAGAGTTTCTTCACTCAGGAGCATTTGCATTTTTAAATGAGTCAGGGAGACCAGTCGGTGGCATGGTGGTTAAGACGACCTGATGCCACATGGCGGACAGCTCTGTACCAGTCCCTGGACAAGCAGCTAAAACACACACACACACACACACACACACACACACACACACGACACTTGTGTGCGCATGCCCAAAATCCTGAGAGGAGAAGGGATTGCAGCGTGGCCATCTTCCCAGGGGCTCGGGAGAGTTGTGGGAGGTGGTGCTTTCTCACGTTTTCTCTCTTTCTCTCTGTCTCTCAAGTTTCTCTCTCCAGCAAATGCTTGTGCTCTATACCAAACTGAAAACAAAAAACAAACAAACAAAAAAAAACAGGGAGAGGGTGATGAGTTTCTGTTGGTAGACCGTTTAGGCCTTGTAATAAATGGGAAGGGAAGGGAATTAGGAGTCGGGGTGCGGGTCCCTTCTTCATGTTCATGAAATCACACACAGAGACAATATCTTCTTGTGCGACAAGACTCAGAGTCCTGGGGAAGGACACTGAGGGGAGGGTTCAGATCAGAAAGCAAGCACTGTGCCTGTACCACCTTCATTCACCCTCATTCACTACAACCCCATAAAGTATTCTCCTCATTGTACAGACAAAGACTCTGAGATGCAGAGGTAAAGTGACTTGCCCAAGGTTACCCAGCTAGGTATTTGGGATTCCAGGTCTCATTTCTTTCTTTCTTTTTTTTAAAATTAGTTTATTTATTTTGACCAGAGAGGGGCAGAGCGAGAGAGACGGAAAGTGAGAAAGCAAGCCACCAGGTCCAGGGGTCGAACCATGGTCGGCTATGTGGGAGTCCAGTGCCCTTAACCAAGCAAGCACTGTGCCTGTACCACCTTCATTCACCCTCATTCACTACAACCCCATAAAGTATTCTCCTCATTGTACAGACAAAGACTCTGAGATGCAGAGGTAAAGTGACTTGCCCAAGGTTACCCAGCTAGGTATTTGGGATTCCAGGTCTCATTTCTTTCTTTCTTTTTTTTAAAATTAGTTTATTTATTTTGACCAGAGAGGGGCAGAGCGAGAGAGACGGAAAGTGAGAAAGCAAGCCACCAGGTCCAGGGGTTGAACCATGGTCGGCTATGTGGGAGTCCAGTGCCCTTAACCAACACACCACTTGCTGGCCAGTGCCCTTAACCACTGTACCACTTGCTGGCCCCTCAAGGGCTCATTTCTAAGCCTGACAGAGGATGCTACCCAGGGAGCAGGGCAAGGCAGGGCTGCTTCTAGACCTCAGGACAAGACGGCCCCTGCAGGTGGGCAAAAGTCTTGGAGGACTCAGGTCTGCCCTAGAGGAGGGGAGAGGATGTGGGTGTCCTCTCCCAGCTCATAAACTTTCTTGGTAGTGGGGGATGGTGGTGGAGTGATTCTGTCCCTCACCCCATTTGTCCTCGGGTTGCAGGGTCAGTGCCCCATCACCTACCCCCCTTCTTCCCCCCCCGGGGCAACCTTTAACCCTGCGCCACCCACATGCAAGGCTGCCTGTCCCCTCGCAGTTTCCCTGGAGCTGTCTGAGCCACCAGTGGCTGGTTATGGAGAGCAGAGACCCACCAGCTACCTCGCACCGGTGGTGGCTGGCTCTGGTGCCT